ACAGAGAGATGCAAGAGCAGAGAGATGCAAGGGCAGAGAGATGCAAGGACAGAGAGATGCAAGGGCAGAGAGATGCAAGGGCAGAGAGATGCAAGGCAGAGAGATGCAAGAGCAGAGAGATGCAAGGGCAGAGAGATGCAAGAGCAGAGAGATGCAAGGGCAAGAGATGCAAGAGCAGAGAGATGCAAGGGCAGAGAGATGCAAGAGCAGAGAGATGCAAGAGCAGAGAGATGCAAGGACAGAGAGATGCAAGAGCAGAGAGATGCAAGGGGAGAGAGATGCAAGAGCAGAGAGATGCAAGGGCAGAGAGATGCAAGAGCAGAGAGATGCAAGGGCAGAGAGATGCAAGGGCAGAGAGATGCAAGGGCAGAGAGATGCAAGAGCAGAAGAATGCAAGGCAGAGAGATGCAAGAGCAGAGAGATGCAAGGGCAGAGAGATGCAAGACAGAGAGATGCAAGAGCAGAGAGATGCAAGGGGAGAGAGATGCAAGGGCAGAGAGATGCAAGGGCAGAGAGATGCAAGGACAGAGAGATGCAAGGACAGAGAGATGCAAGGGCAGAGAGATGCAAGGGCAGAGAGATGCAAGGGCAGAGAGATGCAAGGGCAGAGAGATGCAAGGACAGAGAGATGCAAGAGCAGAGAGATGCAAGGGCAGAGAGATGCAAGGGCAGAGAGATGCAAGGGCAGAAAAGATGCAAGGGCAGAGAGATGCAAGGGCAGAGAGATGCAAGGACAGAGAGATGCAAGGGCAGAGAGATGCAAGGGCAGAGAGATGCAAGAGCAGAGAGATGCAAGGGCAGAGAGATGCAAGGGCAGAGAGATGCAAGGGCAGAGAGATGCAAGAGCAGAGAGATGCAAGGGCAGAGAGATGCAAGGACAGAGAGATGCAAGAGCAGAGAGATGCAAGGGCAGAGAGATGCAAGGGCAGAGAGATGCAAGGGCAGAGAGATGCAAGGACAGAGAGATGCAAGGCAGAGAGATGCAAGGGCAGAGAGATGCAAGGGCAGAGAGATGCAAGGACAGAGAGATGCAAGGACAGAGAGATGCAAGAGCAGAGAGATGCAAGGGCAGAGAGATGCAAGAGCAGAGAGATGCAAGGGCAGAGAGATGCAAGGACAGAGAGATGCAAGGGCAGAGAGATGCAAGGGCAGAGAGATGCAAGAGCAGAGAGATGCAAGACAGAGAGATGCAAGGGCAGAGAGATGCAAGGGCAGAGAGATGCAAGGACAGAGAGATGCAAGAGCAGAGAGATGCAAGGCAGAGAGATGCAAGGGCAGAGAGATGCAAGGCAGAGAGATGCAAGGGCAGAGAGATGCAAGGACAGAGAGATGCAAGGACAGAGAGATGCAAGAGCAGAGAGATGCAAGGACAGAGAGATGCAAGGACAGAGAGATGCAAGAGCAGAGAGATGCAAGGACAGAGAGATGCAAGGACAGAGAGATGCAAGAGCAGAGAGATGCAAGGGCAGAGAGATGCAAGGGCAGAGAGATGCAAGGGCAGAGAGATGCAAGGGCAGAGAGATGCAAGGGCAGAGAGATGCAAGGCAGAGAGATGCAAGGGCAGAGAGATGCAAGGGCAGAGAGATGCAAGGGCAGAGAGATGCAAGGGCAGAGAGATGCAAGGGCAGAGAGATGCAAGGGCAGAGAGATGCAAGGGCAGAGAGATGCAAGGGCAGAGAGATGCAAGGGCAGAGAGATGCAAGGGCAGAGAGATGCAAGGGCAGAGAGATGCAAGGGCAGAGAGATGCAAGGGCAGAGAGATGCAAGGACAGAGAGATGCAAGGGCAGATAGATGCAAGAGCAGAGAGATGCAAGGGCAGAGAGATGCAAGGACAGAGAGATGCAAGAGCAGAGAGATGCAAGGGCAGAGAGATGCAAGAGCAGAGAGATGCAAGGCAGAGAGATGCAAGGACAGAGAGATGCAAGAGCAGAGAGATGCAAGGGCAGAGAGATGCAAGAGCAGAGAGATGCAAGGGCAGAGAGATGCAAGGACAGAGAGATGCAAGGACAGAGAGATGCAAGGACAGAGAGATGCAAGAGCAGAGAGATGCAAGGGCAGAGAGATGCAAGGGCAGAGAGATGCAAGGACAGAGAGATGCAAGAGCAGAGAGATGCAAGGGCAGAGAGATGCAAGGACAGAGAGATGCAAGAGCAGAGAGATGCAAGAGCAGAGAGATGCAAGGACAGAGAGATGCAAGAGCAGAGAGATGCAAGGGCAGAGAGATGCAAGGACAGAGAGATGCAAGAGCAGAGAGATGCAAGAGCAGAGAGATGCAAGGACAGAGAGATGCAAGAGCAGAGAGATGCAAGGGCAGAGAGATGCAAGAGCAGAGAGATGCAAGGACAGAGAGATGCAAGAGCAGAGAGATGCAAGAGCAGAGAGATGCAAGGGCAGAGAGATGCAAGGACAGAGAGATGCAAGAGCAGAGAGATGCAAGAGCAGAGAGATGCAAGGGCAGAGAGATGCAAGGACAGAGAGATGCAAGGGCAGAGAGATGCAAGGACAGAGAGATGCAAGAGCAGAGAGATGCAAGAGCAGAGAGATGCAAGGACAGAGAGATGCAAGAGCAGAGAGATGCAAGGGCAGAGAGATGCAAGAGCAGAGAGATGCAAGGACAGAGAGATGCAAGAGCAGAGAGATGCAAGGGCAGAGAGATGCAAGGACAGAGAGATGCAAGAGCAGAGAGATGCAAGGGCAGAGAGATGCAAGAGCAGAGAGATGCAAGGGCAGAGAGATGCAAGGACAGAGAGATGCAAGGACAGAGAGATGCAAGGACAGAGAGATGCAAGAGCAGAGAGATGCAAGAGCAGAGAGATGCAAGAGCAGAGAGATGCAAGAGCAGAGAGATGCAAGGACAGAGAGATGCAAGAGCAGAGAGATGCAAGGGCAGAGAGATGCAAGAGCAGAGAGATGCAAGGACAGAGAGATGCAAGAGCAGAGAGATGCAAGGGCAGAGAGATGCAAGGACAGAGAGATGCAAGAGCAGAGAGATGCAAGGGCAGAGAGATGCAAGAGCAGAGAGATGCAAGGGCAGAGAGATGCAAGAGCAGAGAGATGCAAGGGCAGAGAGATGCAAGAGCAGAGAGATGCAAGAGCAGAGAGATGCAAGGGCAGAGAGATGCAAGGGCAGAGAGATGCAAGGGCAGAGAGATGCAATGGCAGAGAGATGCAAGGGCAGAGAGATGCAAGGACAGAGAGATGCAAGAGCAGAGAGATGCAAGAGCAGAGAGATGCAAGAGCAGAGAGATGCAAGGGCAGAGAGATGCAAGGGCAGAGAGATGCAATGGCAGAGAGATGCAAGGGCAGAGAGATGCAAGAGCAGAGAGATGCAAGGGCAGAGAGATGCAAGGGCAGAGAGATGCAAGGGCAGAGAGATGCAAGGACAGAGAGATGCAAGGGCAGAGAGATGCAAGGGCAGAGAGATGCAATGGCAGAGAGATGCAAGGGCAGAGAGATGCAAGAGCAGAGAGATGCAAGGGCAGAGAGATGCAAGGGCAGAGAGATGCAAGGGCAGAGAGATGCAAGGACAGAGAGATGCAAGGGCAGAGAGATGCAAGGGCAGAGAGATGCAAGGGCAGAGAGATGCAAGGACAGAGAGATGCAAGGGCAGAGAGATGCAAGGACAGAGAGATGCAAGGGCAGAGAGATGCAAGGGCAGAGAGATGCAAGGGCAGAGAGATGCAAGGGCAGAGAGATGCAAGGACAGAGAGATGCAAGGGCAGAGAGATGCAAGGGCAAGAGATGCAAGGGCAGAGAGATGCAAGGACAGAGAGATGCAAGGGCAGAGAGATGCAAGGGCAGAGAGATGCAAGGGCAGAGAGATGCAAGGACAGAGAGATGCAAGGACAGAGAGATGCAAGAGCAGAGAGATGCAAGAGCAGAGAGATGCAAGAGCAGAGAGATGCAAGGGCAGAGAGATGCAAGGGCAGAGAGATGCAAGGGCAGAGAGATGCAATGGCAGAGAGATGCAAGGCAGAGAGATGCAAGAGCAGAGAGATGCAAGGACAGAGAGATGCAAGAGCAGAGAGATGCAAGAGCAGAGAGATGCAAGGGCAGAGAGATGCAATGGCAGAGAGATGCAAGGGCAGAGAGATGCAAGAGCAGAGAGATGCAAGGACAGAGAGATGCAAGAGCAGAGAGATGCAAGAGCAGAGAGATGCAAGAGCAGAGAGATGCAAGGGCAGAGAGATGCAAGGGCAGAGAGATGCAAGAGCAGAGAGATGCAAGAGCAGAGAGATGCAAGAGCAGAGAGATGCAAGGGCAGAAAATGCAAGAGCAGAGAGATGCAAGGGCAGAGAGATGCAAGGGCAGAGAGATGCAAGAGCAGAGAGATGCAAGAGCAGAGAGATGCAAGAGCAGAGAGATGCAAGAGCAGAGAGATGCAAGAGCAGAGAGATGCAAGGGCAGAGAGATGCAAGGGCAGAGAGATGCAAGGGCAGAGAGATGCAATGGCAGAGAGATGCAAGGGCAGAGAGATGCAAGAGCAGAGAGATGCAAGGGCAGAGAGATGCAAGAGCAGAGAGATGCAAGGGCAGAGAGATGCAAGAGCAGAGAGATGCAAGGGCAGAGAGATGCAAGGGCAGAGAGATGCAATGGCAGAGAGATGCAAGGGCAAGAGATGCAAGAGCAGAGAGATGCAAGGGCAGAGAGATGCAAGAGCAGAGAGATGCAAGGGCAGAGAGATGCAAGAGCAGAGAGATGCAAGGGCAGAGAGATGCAAGAGCAGAGAGATGCAAGGGCAGAGAGATGCAATGGCAGAGAGATGCAAGGGCAGAGAGATGCAAGGGAAGAGAGATGCTAGGGTAGAGAGATACAAGAGCAGAAAGAAACAAGAGAGATCAGGCTCTCGTAGGTCAGGCAAGACATACCCTGGGGCGGGGAGCGATGTTTTGGATGCTGTGGGAGCCATCTGCTCCTTCTGGGACGGAAATTTACAGAGAGAGACAGCTAGACAGACAGGCAGACAGATGCAAGAGACAGCAGGCAGGGAAGGACATACCCTGGCATGAAGAGCGGTGGTGGAGTTGGAAGGGGAACCATTAGAGCCCTCTGTTAACTGGAGGGGATGAGAGAGACACCATTTTATAGAGCTGACTGGAAAACTAGAGGGGAATAAAAGTTGCTTAACAGCAATGTAGAGCTCGTGACACACACAATAGTTCTACCGAGAAGAGACCTAAACATCTGGTAAAGATTGTAAAAAACATGTAAGGTTAAAAACATTTTGAGGAGAGACACTGTTTTAAATTTCTAGGGCAGAGTCCCAGACACTTCCAAACAATCTGAGGGTTGAAGACACTCCAACAATGGTAAACATTGCATGGAAGGGATTAGTAAACATGGTCACATTTTTCATAGATATTTTAAGAGAATGGTTTATATAAAAAAAGAAACATTGAAAGACACAACTACAAGTTTGAAACACTTACACTACGAGGAGTGAGATCTATTACACTAATCCACAAACATAAAGTTACAAATATTACCAGCAGATAAACTTTAAGGTGCTTAGCAAGTTATGTCAGACTCAACACAAAATATAAAAGGATCCCTCATCACTTTATCAATAAGTTCTTAGTGAATACTTCAAAAATACTACAAAATACTACAAAATACTACAAAACACTACAAAATACTAAAAAAATAAATACATTGCTGTGGCGACTCCTTCAACATCTTCAAAAAAAAAAAAAGATTAGTAAACAGTTCCCGTTAAAACACTAAAAGCAAGACCCAAAAAAAAAAATAATATTTAAATATCATTTTAAAAAAATAACAAAGTAAAAAAAAGTTTTAAAAAATAATAAAAATCGAAAGAAAATTAAAAGGGGGTAGAATTTTCAAAAAATCACCGGAAAATTTTAAAAAAAAAAAGATGTTTATTGTAAGATTTCCATAATTTGTGGGTTTCCATGAGCGCGAATATAAACTAATTTAAAAAAAAGCTTTCCCCTTAATAAAAAATTTTTATCGTCTAAAGAAGTTTGTAAAAAAAAATTCCAGGTGAATTTAACGCTTTTAGAAAAGCTTTAAAAAAAAAAAACCAAGCTTTTTTCTAAACGTTTTTATCAGCAAAGTTGTAAAAGGGGTCAGGGGTGTGTGGTCAGGTTTTTGCCCAGAAACCCTTTTAAACTGTACTAAAAATTTTGTGGGAAATATTAAAAATAAGAGGTTTCTTTCAAAAAAAGTAAGAAGGTGTTTGTAAATTTTTAGTTGAAAGTTACTTAAGAATGTGTCGAGAAACAGAAGCTCTGTTGCCGAAAAAATTTAGAGGAAATTTCGTGCCCCCCAGGATCACCCCATAAACCTGACTATGTGTTTATGACTCAGTGTTTACACTTGATAATCAACATAAACTATGCTAAGACGTCCCTGAAAAAATAAGAAATCCACAAAGTTTTAAAAGATAGATCCTTAGTGTTTATTTTAATGCGGGAAGAGGGGATGAGCTGGGGGGGGGAGAAGGTTAAACTGGGGGGAGGGGGAGTGGTAAGCTGGGGGGAAAAGGGGATGTAAGTGGGGAAAAGGGGGAAGTGTAAGTGGGAAGAGGAGGGGGTGTAACTGGGGAAGAGGAGGGAGTGTAACTGGGAAGAGGGGGGAGTGAAGCTGGGGAAGAGGAGGGGGGTAAGCTGGGGAGGGGGAGTGTAATGGGAGGGAGGGGGGGCAAGTGGGGAAGAGGAGGGAGGTATGTGAGGAAAGGAGGAGTGTAAACTGAGGGAAAGGAGGGGTGTAGTGGGGAAGAGGGGGAGTGTAAGCGGGGAAGGGAGGGAGGAAGCTGAGGAAGAGGGGGAGGAAAAACTGAGGAAGAGGAGGGAGGTAAGTGGGGAAGAGGAGGGTGAATGGGGAAAAGGGGGGGTAAGCTGAGGAAGGGGGGATGTAAAGAGGAAGGGAGGGGGTGTAAAACTGGGGAAGAGAAGGGAGTGTAAAATGAGGAAGAGGGGGAGTGTAAGATGGGGAAAGGAGGAAGTGTAATGGGGAAAGGGGGAAGGCAAGTGGGGAAGAGGAGGGGTGCAACTGGGGGAAAAGGGGGAAGTGTAAGTGGGGAAGGGGGAAGTGTAAGTGGAAGAGGAGGAAATGTAACGGGGGAAAAGGGGGGGATGTAAGTGGGGAAGAGAAGGAGTGAAACTGAGGAAGAGGGGGGAGGGAAGCTGGGGAAAAGGAGGGGAGTGTAAAACTTAGGAAAGGGGGAAGTGAAGCTGAGGAAAAGAAGGGGGTGTAAAGGGAAAAGGGGGGGAAATGTAAACTGGGGGAAAAGGAGGGAGCGCAAGCTGAGGAAGAGGGGGAGTGTAACGAGGGAAGAGGGGGAGGAAGCTGGGAAAGGAGGAGTGTAAATGAGGAAGAGGAGGGAGGTAAGTGAGGAAGAGGGGGAATGTAAGCGGGGGAAAAGGAGGGGTGTAAACGAGGGAGGGGGAATGAACTGGGAAGGGAGGAAGTTAAACGAGAAAGAGGGGGGGAGTGAAAGTGGGGAAGGGGGTGAGTGAAGCTGGGAAAAGGAGGAAGTGTAATGAGGAAGAGGAGGGAATGTAACTGGGGGAAAAGGGGGGAGTTTTAAAAAGAGGAAGAGGAGGAAGTGTAAACTGGGGGGAGGAGGGTGTAACGAGGAAAAGGGGGGGGTGTAAGCTAGGAAGAGGAGGGAGTGTAAACTGAGGAAGAGGGGGAGTGTAACCCGGGGAAAAGGGGAAATGTAAAACTGAGGAAGAAAGGAAGCGTAAGTGGAAGAGGATAAGTGTAAGCTGAGGAAGAGGAGGGAGTATAACCGAAGGGGGAGGGGGTGTAAGCGGGGGAAGGGGAGGGGTGTAACCGAGGAAAAAGGAGGGGGTGTAACCTAGGGAAAGGAGGGAGTGTAAGCTCGGGAAAGGAGGAGTGTAAGTGAGGAAGAGGGGAGTGTAAGCTGAGGAAAGGGGGGAAGTGTAAACTGAAGAGGAGGGAGTTAAGCTTGGAAAAGGAGGGAGGTAAGCGAGGAAGAGGGGGGATGAAGCTGAGGAAAGGGGAAAAAGAAGCTGAGGAAGAGGAGGAAGTGTAAGTGGGGAAGAGGGGAAAGTAAGCCCAGGAAGAGGGGGAGTGTAACCTGAGGAAGGGAGGGGGTTTAAGCGAGGAAGGGGGGGAGTGTAAACCCGAGGAAGAGGATGAGTGTAAGTGAGGGAAAAGGGGGGAGTGTAACCCGAGGAAGAGGGGGGGTAAGCTGAGGGAAAAGGAGGGAATGTAAGCTGGGAAGAGGGGAAGTGTAAGCTGAGGAAGAGGGGAATTAAGCGGGAAGGGAGGGGGGTGAACCGGGGGGAAAAGGGGGAGTGTAAGCTGAGGAAGAGGAGGGGGTGTAAAAACCCGAGGAAGAGGACGGAGTGTAAGCGGAAGAGGAGGGAGTGTAAAACTGGGAAAAAGGAGAAAGTTAAACTGAGGAAGGGAGGAAGTGTAAGTGAGGAAAGGGGGAAATGTAAGTTGGAAAGGGGAAGTGTAAACTGGGGGAAAGAAGAATGAAGTGAGGAAAGGAGGGGGAAGTGTAAATGAAAGAGGGGGAAATTGCGGGAAGAGGGGGGAGTGTGTAGGAAAGGGGAATGAAGGAGGAAAGGAGGAAGTTAAGCTAAGGGAAAAGGAGGAAGTGTAAGTGAGGAAAAGGAGGAAGGTAAGTGAGAAGGAAAGGGGGTGTAAGCTGAGGAAAGGAGGGAATGTAAGCTGAGGAAAAAGGAGGGAAATGTAAGCTGAGGGGGAGGGGGGAGTGTAGCTGAGGAAAAGGGGGGGAGGTAACTGAGGAAGAGGGGAAGTGTAAGTGGGAAAAGGGGGGAAGGTTAAATGAGGAAAGGAGGAAGGCAATGGGGAAGAGGAGGGAGGTAGGCTGAGGGAAAAGGGGGGAGTGTAAGCTGAGGAAGGGAGGAAGGTAAACTGAGGAAGAGGAGGAAGGTAAGGGGGAAGGGAGGGAGTGTAAATGGGGGAAAAGGAGGAAGGTAAGTGGGAAGAGGAGGGGGTGTAAAACTGAGGAAGAGGGGAAGTGTAAGTGAGGAAAGAGGAGGAAATGTAACTGAGGAAGAGGGGGGAAGGTATGTGAGGAAGAGGGGGGAGTGTAAGCGGGGGAAAAGGGGGAAGTAAGCTGAAGGGGAAAAGGGGGGAGTGTAAGCTGGAGAGGGGGGAGTGTAAGCGAGGAAGAGGAGGGGGTGTAAGCCGAGGAAGAGGAGGGGGTGTAAATGGGGAAGAGGAGGAAGGTAAGCGGGAAGAGGAGAAGTGTAAATGGGAAGGGGGGAGTTAAGTGGGGGAAAAGGAAGAGGTAAACTGAGGGGGGAGGAAGGTAAGGGGGAAGGGAGGGAGTGTAAGTGGGAAAAAGGAGGGAGTGCAAGCGGGAAGAGGGGGGAGTGAAGCTGGGGGGAGGAGGGAGTGCTGGGGAAGAGGAGGAAGTTAAGCGGGGAAGGAGGGAGTGAAGCGGGGGGAAAAGGGGGGAAGTGTAAACTGAGGAAGGGGAGGAAAATGTAAACAGGGAAGAGGGGGAGTGTAAGGGGGAAAAGGAAGTAAAGGGAAAGGGGGGAGTTAAATGGGGGAAAAGGAGGAAGTGTAAGCTGGGAGAGGGGGAGTGTAAGCGAGGAAGAGGAGGGATGTAAGCGAGGGAAAAGGAGGAAGTGTAAGTGAGGAAAAGGGGGGAATGTAAGTGGGGGAAGAGGAGGAAGTGTAAGGAGGAAGGGGGGAGTGAACGAGGAAGAGGAGGGGTGTAAAGTGAGGAAAGGGGGAAGTGTAAGCGAGGAAGAGGAGGGGGTGTAAACTGGGGGAAAAGGAGGAACGTAAACTGAGGAAGAGAGGGAAAGGGAAGCTCGGGAAAAAGGAAGGGGGGTGTAACTGGGGAGGGGAAGTGTAAGGGGGAAAAAAGGGGGGGGAGGAAGTGGGGAAGAGGAGGGAGGGAAGGGGAAAGAGGAGGGGAGTGTTAGTAGGAAGAGGGGGGGTGGGTAAGCTGGGAAGGGAGGAAGGTAAGCTGGGGAAGAGGAGGGGTGAAGCTGGGAAGAGGAGGAAGTGTAATGGGAGAGGAGGGGGTTAAATGAGGAAGAGGGGGGAGGGAAAAGGGGGGCAGGAGGAAAACGA